AGATTCCAACTCAGGAACCTCAACAACAACTTGAATCAATTGCAACTAGCAGGCCAAAAAGGACAATAACAAAACATGTTTGTCTTATAGAGACGGTTGCTTGTGCCGTCTCAATTGTAGCTGATNACTTGGAGAAGGAAATCTACATGACTCAGCCAGAAGGATTCAAAGTTGCTGGAAAAGAAAATATAGTGTGCAAAGTTGAAAAATCATTGTACGGATTGAAACAATCTTCTAGACAATGGTATAAGCGATTTGACGAGTTTATGTTGCGGCAAGGGTACAAGAGAAGCAAATACGATCATTGTGTGTATTTGTGCAAGCTTAAAGATGGTTCCTTTGTATATCTTCTCCTATATGTTGATGATATGTTGATAGCTTCCACGAATTCGGAAGAAATTGATAAGTTGAATAAGTTGAAGATTCAACTGAAGAAGGAGTTCGAGATGAAGGATCTGGGTGTGGCAAAGAAAATTCTTGGCATGGAGATAATAAGAGATAGACGTTCAAAGAAACTCTGTTTATCTTAAAAGGAATATTTGAAGAGAGTACTACAACGTTTTGGCATAGATGAGAAGACTAAGCCAGTTAGTACTCTACTTGCTCTCCATTTTAAGCTAAGTACTACTATGTCGCCAAAAGATGAAGCTGAACATGAGTATATGTCAAGGGTACCATACGCAAATGCTGTTGGTAGCTTGATGTATGCAATGGTCTATACGAGACCTGACATTTCACAAGCTGTTAGAGTTATTAGCAGATATATGCATAATCCAGGAAAGGAGCATTGGCAAGCTATGAAGTCGATTCTACGGTATATTCATAATACTGTAGATGTTGGGTTAGTTTTTGAGCAGGAAGGCAATCAGTCTGTAGTTGGATATTGTGACTCAGATTTTGCGGGTGATCTGGACAAACGAAGATCAACTACTGGTTATGTGTTTACTTTTGCAAAGGCACCAGTTAGTTGGAAGTCTACTTTGCAGTCAATAGTTGCTTTGTCTACAACAGAGGCAGAGTACATGACTATTACAGAGATTTGTTGAATTTGGCAAATCCCACATCGGTGGTTTAGCCATTTGGTAGAGAATTTTTCCCTATAAAAGGAGACCTAATGTTTAGGATTTAGACACACCTCTCATTTGCATTCTTATCTTCTTAAGGCATTTGTATATTCTCTCTTTAGTATAATTTCACTTGCAATTTTGGAGTGAAATAAAATATTGGTTGTGTTCGAGGAAGTAGGCAAAATTGGCCGAACCTCGTAAATTCTGGTGTTCCTTTTATTGTTGTTTTATTGTCTTATTTATTATTTGGTGGTTGCCATAATTTTTGGTATAGAGTTGTGACTCATTCACACTATATACATTTGGCTTTCGCAACAATTATGTATATATATTACATACTGATACCCCTTGGCTCTTCCTGGATTTACTTCTTTATATTTTGACCCCCTTAGTGAAAATCCTGGATCCGCCACTACCTGTGTAACTATGTAAAATGGACTTCTGAATTCAGTCAGCATGAATTATTACCTGACAAAGATGAACGATATTATGTTAACACTGTTTTAAGAAAAAATATTCACCTCTTAGAAGAACATAAGTAGGCCGCAATGCTATGGGTCTAAGTTAAAGCCTATGGCAAATGAAGAAAAGATAAGTTCTATCAATGTTGTTGTATTGTCAGCGGCTTGGGGCTTTTAAAATAGGGGATAACATATACTTTTAATTATGCTGAGTAAAGCTCTTCTTGTGACTTAAGCTTTCACTCATTTAGCGCCTGAGTTGTTCGTGAAAGGTAAATTCAGCCATATAATTATTGCGTTCATTCCTTTTGTCAGGTTGAAACAGATAGTTGGGTCGAGAATGCTGGCAATGGTCTCATGGGCATGCAGGTGCATAAGACTCTTCATTCTTTTCTTATGTCTGCTGCTTTAGACTCTTCAATAATTCTGTTTTATACTGAATTTATGATGTTCTTCTTTTTAGATTGTCAAACCAAATGGACAATTAAAGTTCCTGGTTGAGATATTCTTTGGGATTAGGTTCTCCATGACTGGAAAATATGAGTAAGTCCCCTGCTAAATGCCACTCGCAAATTATCGTAGTCTCCAGTCATGTTAATGAAACAATACTATAGAATCTGAGGATATTAAGATTTTCATCAAGAATCAATTGCTAGGTTCTGATGTCGTTAATCTTAATTGCTTGGCTTCAGGAAATCCGGTAGTAACACGTACAATGTTATAATGGATGATGGAGCATTCGTGGCTGGAGTTTATGGAATTCCAGTTGAAATGGAAAGCAAGTTCACCATAGAAATACTGTAAGATATCTAATGCGGACATAGCATTGGCTTTCTAACTATTTTAGCTAAACTTTGTCATCCATCGTTACTTTGGCCGAAGGTCTATCGAAAATAGCCTCTTTGTCCTCCAAGGGCAGGAGTAAGGTTTGCGTACATACTACCTTCCCCAGACGCCACTTATGAGAACTCACTGGGTTTTTGTTGTTGTTTGTCATCGACCGTTATGCTTAAACAATCCTGTTATTTCCATTTGTATAATGCAGATATACTGATGACAAGATCAGAATTTCACGGGGCTACAACAAAATTCTCTTCATCCATGTACGCGTAGATGGATCCAAAAAGAAGTGATCAAGAGTTGTATAGGCAAATTAAGGCCAATTTGCTATGTTAAAACTTCAAATCATTGTCAAATCTTGTCAAACTGTAACTTATATTCAAACTGCCATGCACCTTTCAAAATTTCATACTTCTTACAATCAAAACTGCCTTATGCCAGAGGATCTCTAGCAGCAGATGTTTGTTGGCCGAGACGGATCCAGAGTTTTAATTTGATGGGTTCAATCTTTATGTTTTTGCCGCTAAACCATTGAACATTAAAAGTTATTTTTCTTTACACATATATCTAAGCCACATATTAAAGTTATGAGTTTAGTTGAACCTGTAGCTCATGAGCTAAATCCGTCTATGTTTGTAGGGTGACAGAGCTTTAGCATACCATTAGAACTTCATCATTGGTAAATGGTCTTGTTATGCTCTTAATCATCGCAAATACATTCCAAAATGCAGTGTTTGACCACTTTTTTAGTTTGTGTTTATTGTTGAGTGATTGCTCATTCATTTTGAAAGATAGTCCGGAAGCTTCTTTTCTATCAGCAAGCAAAGACGAGATCACCACTTCTGTCAACAAAAGAAATTCTTTTATTCTTCCTTTACCTTTTGTCATTCGAACCCCAATTGGATGGTATACAGAAAATAGTCCTTGACTTAACCTAAAGTTGAATCCATAATATTCCTCATTTCTTTTCCTTGAAAAAGAAAAATTAAGCACATCTGGTTAATTGTTCATGGTTAAATGATAAAAGTTTATATATGAAACACATGTTGTGTATATATTGGTTTGGTATAAACATCATATCTAAATTAATTTTTTTTTCTCCCACAACCAGGCAACTAGCAAATGCGGACAAACTAGTAAATATATAAATAATGATATTGACATAGATAAGATTAGCCTATAAAATCTAAGGATCTTTATACAAATAGCCGGACAAATTTATTGTTTACTTTTCCTAGCTGGTATACATAATCTGTGCATTGATTAAACACAGTTATACATATATTAAACATGACTATGCTTATATTATATATCTGCTGGCTATTTTTAGTTTAAGCAATTGGGTGAACCACTATTCAGGTTAATTCTGCTAAAATGTTAACCTCTTATAGTAAAGTTAGGGCTGGCAGCCCGGTGCATTAAGCTTCCGCTATGCACGGGTACGGGTAAGGGCCGGACCACAAGGGTCTATAATAAAGTTAGGATCTTTTGGGTTTTATCCAAAAGAAAGGGGTTATAGCATAATTCCCAAACTTAGCTCCACTTCCAACCCGAAAGGCCCAATTTAAGATCCGATAACCCGGAAAACATATATAGTTTCCGATTGCCCCAGAAGCTGAAAAAAAGGAAAAAAGAATCGCTATTAGCAATCCAGAAGAGAGGTACGTTCTTGGTCTGTAGATTTTTGAGTTTCTTCCATTTACCCCAATTTTTCAATCTGCATAATTTTGAATCTTTTTTTTTCTTCGAGTTGGTTCATAATTTTTTCTATTTTTTCAGGACTCAGATTTATTGAGTATCTTTGTTTTCGGAGTATTTGAGCCATGGAAAGTTCGGTAGCTGCAGAAAATGATAGTAATGCCGCAGGTAATTTCCTAACAAACCCAAAATCATTTTTTTCTTAAAAAAATTTGTTCATCAGCTTTGGTAGTTGAATTAGTGTAGCAATTAGAGGATTCTGCTCCTTGATTATGTGTTTATAGGGATACTTATTGAAGCATTTTACTGTTAAAGATCTTGAGTTGAAGCTTTGTGTGAAAGTACTATGGCTACCATTAGTCTAAACAGAAAGAATGTAAGGAAATGCTGTATAGGTTTGAGATTTCAAGAGAAAGCTGCAAAATTAGCTGAAAAGAAAACTATACTGTATACAGCTTCTTTTTCCTTTTTTTGCTTGGTTATTTGTTGTACTTGTTTTACCCTTTTATTCCTATGATGATGTTAGCAAAAGAATGGTTTAAGTGCTTATGGGAGTGCTGCTTTGATGTCTGTTTCAGAGGATGATGTAAAGGAGAGGTGTTGGGACCAAAGAGAAGCGCTACCTGGCGAGCCTCGATGTGTTATATGTGGCCGCTATGGTGAGTACATTTGCGATGAGACTGATGATGATATTTGCAGCTTGGAATGCAAAGGTATATTGTTGTCGCGGCTTGCAAAATCACGGCAACCAACTGCTCGTCCATGTCCTGTGAAGTTACCTGCAACGGATGAGTGCTATTATGTTAGGGATAATGATAAATCTGAAGTGAAACCACTAACAACTGACCAGACTGAACTTCTGAGAAGAAAACTTGATATTGTTGTGAAGGGAGACACTACAGTGCCTCCCGTCTTGTCATTTGCTTCCGGCAAGCTACCTCAGAAGCTTCTCGAGAATATTGAAGTTGCCGGTTATGAAATGCCAACTCCTGTCCAAATGCAAGCAATCCCTTCTACTTTAGCAGGGCAAAGCTTGCTTGTTTCAGCGGAGACTGGTTCCGGTAAAACTGGCTCGTTTCTAATTCCTATAGTTTCTCGATGTGCAAAAGTTAATGAAGAGCATTTCCAAAACCAGCAGAAACCATTAGCTATGGTTCTCACACCTACTAGAGAACTCTGCATACAGGTAGAGGATCAAGCTAAGGTGCTCGGGAAAGGTTTGCCCTTCAAAACTGCATTGGTGGTAGGTGGTGATGCCATGGCGGGACAGCTCCACCGCATCCAGCAGGGAGTGTCTTTAATTGTGGGAACTCCTGGAAGGCTCATTGACCTTTTAACGAAGCACGAGATTGAACTGAATACTATTTCAATTCTTGTTCTTGATGAAGTAGATTGCATGCTCCAAAGAGGTTTCCTTGAGCAGGTGATGCAGATTTTTACGGCTCTGTCTCAACCTCAAGTGTTAATGTATTCTGCAACAATTCCTAAAGAAGCAGAGCGGATGGCAAGCTCAATGGCGAAAAAGGTCACAGTCATCTCTGTTGGGAAGCCAAATAAACCTAATCAGGCTGTCAAGCAGTTAGCGATTTGGGTAGACTCGAAGCGGAAGAAGCAAAAGCTTTTCGATATTTTGATGAGCAAGCAGCATTACAAGCCACCAGTTATTGTATTTGTGGGTTCTAGACTTGGAGCAGATCTCCTTTCTGAAGCAATAACAGTAAGTACAGGGCTAAAAGCATTGCCAATGCATGGTGAGAAATCAATGAAGGATAGGCGAGAAATTGTTAGGTCATTTCTAGTTGGAGAAGTTCCTGTTATTGTGGCCACAGGGGTGTTGGGTCGAGGAATTGATCTGTTGACTGTGAAACAGGTAATTGTGTTTGATATGCCAAATTCCATCAAGGAGTATGTGCACCAGGTTGGAAGGGCATCTAGAATGGGAGAGGAAGGTACAGCAATTGTCTTTGTGAATGAAGAGAATAAGAAATTGTTTCCCGAGTTGGTTGAAACTCTTAAAACATCTGGTGCTGCAATTCCCCGAGAGCTTGCCAATTCACGGCATTCTGTTGGCTCTTTCTCTGCTGGCAGAGGTCAGAAAAAACGAAAACATGGTTACTGATGATGTTGGTCTCCCTTCCTCTTCCCTACATGAAGCTCCCCCTGCTAAGAATTAAGATTACTTATCCTCTCAAACTCTCCTCTACTGCAAATGTTCTGTCATTACCCAACTGCTTCTTAGACCTAGTTGTCAAACTGTCTTGGTTAGACATTAGTGCACGAGTATTTGTACATGTGTATACTGTGTAGTGTGCATGCATTACGTCTTGATTCTTCTCGTGCTAAAAGGATGCTTCTCATTTGAAAACACCTGGTCAACTGAAAACCAGCCCTGGAACTTCAGTTATTTAGTGATGGACATGAAGGGTGCACTCCTCAAAGCTTAAGAACTGAAATGTAGCTGACTGCGATGTTGACGGAATGCTGCAGTTCGTACTCATTCTTTAGGTGATCTCTTCGGCCTTAAAAGTCAAGAGGATATAAGGTTTTGGCGATGCTGGTTATATCTGCGGTTGGACTGATAAGCATTCACCTTAGAAATTAACTGCTCACTGAAAGTTTAAGCTTACATGACAGTTTTGGTGACATATATATTGTTCACCAAATTTGTCGTGATTGATTTTCCTCAATGAGTATATACCGTTCTATGCTTGACTTGACAGTTCGCCTCACGGGGCACGGATGCCTTTGCCTATGTTTTCAGATTTGGAAGAATTCTGATAAGCAAGACTGCCAGAGGTGTTTCAAAACGCGGGTTAAGCAGCATATTGTAAATGTTGGTAGGCAACCTTCTACTTGTCAACCAGAAGGAGCAAGCAGCGGGAAAAGGAGGAGATTTGGAGGCGGCTGTTACTAGTTGAATACAGGTAGAGGATCAACTCTTAGTAGTTGAGAACTGTGCACTATATTCATATCATTCCGTTTTCCCTATTAAACATATAGATCCGCAGGCAGATACATGAGCAAAGTCACCATTTGCTCTGATGCTTGAAGTGGCTTGCGATTTGAACCCTCACAAGAGGAGAACATGCCTCACTATTTAATAACATTGAAAGATCGTTCCAGAGAAAATGAAGGCAGGCTTCGACATATTCTATCACATCTTGCTTGTACTGGATTTTATTTAACTAAACCTCTTAAAGCTCCTGTATGAATTTCTCTAACATGCGGCTTAATGGGCTTGATATCTTGCTAAACATTAGGGATAAGGTGCTAGACCTCTAATGTTTTGCGAGATATCAAACCCATTAAGCCACAAGTTGGAGTGATTTATACAGGAGCTAGAAGAGGTTTTGTTAAATCGTAAATCCCGTACAACTTAGATGTGAAAGAATTTGTTGAATAATTTTCTCTTAAAGGATGTGGTATAATTAATTAAATGGTCAGACGTGTTCTTTGATGCTTGCTCTGATCAAATTGAAAGTCTCTTCCAAGCATTTGGCATCTTTGTTTATCTGCCTGAAGATCTATATATTGACAAGTGATATGCATTTATGAGGTGACAAGTATGGAGTGCAGTGTCCTTGAATCCTATGAATGATATTGTGGTGTAATTTAATATTTAAAAGAGATAATGTGGTGTCACCAAGGCTGTTGTTGGGTATGATTTATCAAGTCTGTTACAGGTTTAGAGAAATGAGTTGATTAGGTATAGCAGCAAAACCAAAGTACTTCTTCTTTGGGTTTACACTCTTCAGGATAATGCAAATATGTAAAAACACTCGGTGCGGCTAAGGAGCACATTATCCTCATTACCAATTTCCCTCTCCCCTGGAGGGGTTTAGCTAGAGTGCCTTCCCTGCAGAGACATGAACAACAATAACGATATAATACCCAGTGTAGTTTCACAAGTGGGGTCTGGGGAGGGTAGTGTGTATGCAAACCTTACGCCTGTCTATAGAAGGCAGAGAGGTTGTTTCCGGTAGACCCTCAGGCTCAGGAAGGAAAAAGGGGAGGGACAATAACAAGCAAACCAATCTGACAACCGAAGCGAAAATACAAAACTAACGCTAAATAATGCAATCAGAAAATCGAAACAAAGGCAGCACCAACAGAAGTCTAGGGATATGAAAGAAACACGAAGGACACTAAATGATGTATCAAAGTTACTGCTACAAACAAGAACAACACTCGGTTACCTAACGATTTACCTTTATGCTCAATCTCCACACCTTTCTACCATGATCATGTCCTTAGTCAGTTGGAGTAGCGATATATCTTGCCTAATCACCTCTCCCTAATACTTCTTCGGACTGCCTCTGCCTCTTCGATGGCCCTCTAACGCAGCCTCACACCTCCTTATAGGAGCATCAGTGTGTCTCATCTTAACATGCCCGAACCATCTAAGTTTCGCCTCCCGCATCTTGTCCTCCCCAGGGGCCACACCCGCCTTCTCCCGAATAACTTCATTTCTAATTCTATTTATCATGATATGCCCACACATCCATCTCAACATCTTCATTTCAGCCACCTTCATCATCTGGACATGGGAGTTCTTGACCGACCAACACTCCGCCCCATACACCATAGTCGGTCTTACCATCGCTTTATAGAACTTACCTTTAAGTTTAAGTGACACATTTTTATGACACAGAACACCGGAAGCGAGGCTTTCGGGCCTCCATTTCATCCACCCCGCCCCAATACGGTGTGCGACATCCTCGTCGATCTCCCCACGGGGAAAAAGTATATAAGAAAACCAAGTTCTTTTTTATTTAACCATCTTGTATCCAAAGCCTATTGACTGGAGTAATTAAATTTGTGCCAGGTAGAATCACAAAGAGAGTAGAACACTCCTACCAAAAGTTAAAAATAAAGAAAAGAGTTTAATTGCCCAAATAAGATAAAATCAGTATAGTCGGTATAACAATCATCCCCCTCTCTCTATATACTAGTGGGAATCGCCCGTGCTAGGCACGGGCCCAATAGCGCAATTGTTTCTAATAATATTTAGTAAATGGTCTCCTACTTCATCAATTCTGTAGGAGCCTAAATTGTCTAAAGGAAAACGCCATGTTCCTTCGTCTGGTTTGGTATCTTATACCAATCTCGAGAGAGATAATGTCTTTTCGTACTCTGTAAACGAACTACAAGTTAACATTATGTATTCAACAGGAAGCGTCACAGCCTAGGTTAGGGCCACCTCCGAGAAACCTTACAATAGGCAGATCACCTCTTTTATTATAGTAGATAGACAACATTTGTGGACTACGATAAATGTTTTCAACCAATCTGACATTGTAAATGCACATGTAATGTCATGTGTCAGTTCATACATGTGGTAATTTAATGAAGGATTGGAAATATACATTTTTATTTTACAATAGAAGAATGCTTTATTAATTCTTTGTGCTTGCCAATCTGAAAGAAATCATTTGATATTCTGTGGCATCATGAAGTCACCACCAAAAAAAGTTTAAATGGTTGATAGACTCTTTTTGTCAGTTTTCACATGGGTAACATCTGCTGCAAATAGAAAGTCCTCTTCTCTGCCAATTATCTTGGCTAAGACATGTTGCCTCGACAGCATTCCCCACAAAGCAGGGAATTTTGGTGTGTTGTTTTTGTCCTCCGTGTTATCTTTTACCATCCAGCTTTTGGAGAAGATTGTAGCAACTTTGGACACCCTATACAGTACCTATATCATAATCAGAACTACTGGTCTATAAACTCCATTACTTTTTCACTTTGTTCCGCAATCACCTTTGAGGTTGTTGTATAGAGCAAGATTGAGGTTGTCGTACAATGCATATTTGATCACCATGACTGTTTTCATAGTAAATGTCCTGATTAAGGTGGCAAGACCATAATGCATGTGTTGAATTTACCATCTGCACATATGAATGGAGAAGAGAAAATGTTAAACAAAAAAGGACCGGTAATAAAGACGATGAACTAAGTTCAAAGTGGCTGCAAAAGTGTGAAAGGTGACTGTTCTCTAATCATTAAAGTTTATCTTAAACTGTTGATGTCATTCAGGGCTGACAAAACAGTCACCAAATACAAGCATTTTTGTTCGGGGTTGAACTACAGAGAGTAGGGAATTCATCCTTCAATGTCCCTGTTTCAATCCAACTATGTGTGAAATTTTTTATCTTCCTTTTAATCCCCCATCTTCAACATGATACTGCTGTAGCACGTTGTTTAGCTGCACTGCTAAAACATAAAATTGTAAGGAGCATGTAAATTTTATATAGCACATCCTTCCATAGATGTAACAGGAGGTGTATATAAAAGAATGTATAATTTGCCATCAATCAGAATCAAAGGTTATGCACTAACCATCCATAGAAGGTGATATAATCGATGTACTTGATGCAAAATTTTAAGGTGCTCTTCAAATTATCACGGCAAAAAGGCAGGACCCTGATCTTGTATTCCTGCGAGGTTGAGAAAAGGAAAACCGTTCTCAGCCAGGTTCCCAAAATAGTGAAAGAGATGAATAGAGAGAATGTAGGTATGATTCTTACTTCTCAAGAAAACGTAGGTACATTTACCAAATTGTAGCGGCAAAAAGATTTATGTGAAAGGTTTTAGCCTTGACGATGAAGAAGTCGCATTTGAGATGAGAAAGTATCGCCAGCTATGGTGAATTATAGTAACTAAAGGTGCCTTGCATCATATCATGTCAATATGTAGATAGTTTATATGTAAATAGATTACTCTCATGTTTTTTTTTTTTGCCAAGCACATATCATCCCTGAATTGAGGGGATTGAGCTTGCTGTCAAGGCATAAACTCCTGGAAAAGCTAAATGACTCTGATTTGTAGTGCAGAGTATGCCAACGTTGAACTCGATTGGAGCGAAGGTAAGAATTGTACAGATACTTTATTTTCTTCTTTTTTTCTCTTTTAGAATATAGATACTTCTCTTAACTAGAAAGAAATAGATGTACTAAATCAAAGTCGTAGACTTACGTCAACAAATATGCTATGTTGTCATTGAACACTTTAGAACTGAAGAAATAGGAAGCTTGTCGTTATGTATAGTAGCATTCAAGTCTCAAGTCAAAAACAACAAGTAATAAATCCAGTATTATGAATAAGTCATACCAATATAACTAATGACTTCAAAAGAAATGTAATGTAGTAACAGCACTTAGAAAAGAGGGTGAACCTTATAGTTAGGACAAAGACTTCAGAGAGAAGTGAAAAGATATTTTTAGTAATGTTAAAATGCAATTGGTCATAGATCTGAATTTGAACAGATAAGAGCTCAAAATGACTTGTAAAGAAATAGAAAAATGAAAGTTGTAAACTGAAAACTCATACTTACAGTTGGACAGACGCGTCGTGTCCTAATAAAAGTCCTATTGACGCTATTAAGGGAGAGTTAATAACCTCTACTTCACAGTGCTGGAAGAACTTTACTAGCTGCACATGAATCTCCTGTGTTTTCTTTCATATTTCACGACTTGAAAAACCAAAGAGGGGAAAAATAAAAGTTAATTCAGTCGTTCTAACCAACGCGCATAATAGAGGCTACAGCTCCAGTTGAGGAGAAGCTTCCCTCCTTTAAAGAAAAACTCATATCCCCAGACCCAATAAATTTTTTGCATGATCAGCAGGTTTCCTCCGTTCCTGTCATTAATGATTACTATGAGGGCACGCCAAAGGCTCCTTCCAGGATGATCCTCCAAACAGTGATCAAGCAATTTTTCTATCATCGGAGGAAATGCAAAGGCTTTATGAGCCATGGAAATATTCAGTTATTATCAAATTATTTGGTAAGCGTATCCTTCATCAATATCTCAAAAAAAAAAAAAAAAAAAAAAAAAAAAAAAAAAAAAAAACTCCATGACCAATGGAAACCTACGGAACAATTTCCTCTCATTGATTTGGGTAACGATTTCTATATAGTTAAATTCTCTCAAGAAGTCAATATGGCCAAAGCCCTTCACAAAGGTCCTTGGTTCATCAATGGCCACTACTTGTCTGTAAAGAAATGGGTCCCAAATTTCGTAGCTTCTAAGGAAAAATTACAAATCTCTGTTGTTTGGTTAAGACTACCCCAACTCCCTACGGAGTTTTATGATAGCACCATTCTCGCAAGGATTGGCAACAAAATTGGCAAGCTCTTAAAAATAGATGCTTGTACATCCGCTACTTTAAGGGGTAGATACGCTGGGTTATGCGTTGAGCTCCCTCTAGATTACCCAGTTCCTCCATTCATCCATATAGGTTCTCACAAACAACCTATACTTTATGAAGGAGAAAATTTCCTTTGTAGAGGTTGTGGTAGATTAGGCCACACAAAGTCTAAGTGTAGCTATGTCTGCATGACTCTCTCATCTACCAACAATATCTCTCCTAAATCCATTGATCCCCTCCCAATCATTATTGAGGAGGACCAATGGAAGGTAGTTTCATTCTCCAAACAAAGATATCATCCCAGTAAAGGCAATCCTCAAAGTCCCCTATAAGAAATCTGATTATAAGGAAAACGTGAGTATTAAGGCAAAAATCTTCAATGCCAATACTAGAAAGTTTATTAACACTCAAAACTTCATATACAAAGAAAAACTTTCTATTACTACACACCCTTTTTCAATCTCTAAAAATCCTGAATTAAACACAGTTAATAAATTTGACCTTTTAGACACGTTGGAGGACAACCAACTGACACAATCCCTTACCAAGAACAAAATTGGAATAAGCCAAAAGAGACAAAATAGCTCTTCGACATTCTCTATGCAAAACCCGGTTTGAATGGAAGATAATTCGAGCCACGTGGCAAGAAATAACATAGAAAATTACCCTCCCAGCCACTATGCTTCCCATAATGCCTCCAAATCATCTGCCACCCACTATTTTAAGGACAAACCTCTGGTGAGAAACACCATGCAAACCAAGCTTCCCACTCCTCAACAAATGGCAGTCGACCTTCCTTCTCTCCCAAATGATAAAAACCTTACGTAAACCCAATCAGACTCCATACAAGTGGATAGCATATTTTCCATATCTATCTCCCACGATTCTATTACTCAAGTGCTCCACAAAACTTCAGATTTCCAACACTCCTCTCACACTTATAATGCCTCGACTACCACTCCTCCTTCAACGCAGGACAAACCTCTTCAGAATACCACGCACAAATCACCCTCAAATGGACAATCTCCCTCCACTGCCACCTCACAACATGCCTCTCATATACTCAACCACCCCATTCCCAATGAATCAACCCCAATCTTGGTTGGAAAGGGGGATTCTGGGTCATGCAGCATCTTTCAGTCTGGACATAAAGGGCCAGGAGGTTGTCATAATCCTCCAAAACTCCAACTTCTTAGCCTAGCTGATCATGGAGGGAATGCAACTAGCGATGAACAACTATGTCAACCAAACTTGGTTAACCAACATTTTGAATCCATTAACTCCAAATGCCCCTCCAACATTAATTCAAGCCATGCAGGCCCACTGGGGTCTTCCTGCTCACTTCAACCCAGCTTATGGGAACCAACCTCTCCAAAATCTACTATTCTTCCCTCCACAAAATCAGGTGAACCCAATCTTCCTAGCTTGGCAAGCAACGGACCAGGCTCACTAGGGGATAAACCCTGTGATACCCCAGAACCAGGACAATCCTGCTCCAATGGATGTCCAACCATCTCCCAACGCACAAAACCTGGCAATCCACTGCCACAGCAAGGGGAGGCAGTAGCAAGACCTTTAAGGGAATCTCGAATAGAGTTCAAAAGCCTCAAAGAAATAGCAATATTACTCTACAAGGAGAGGCAAGACAAGAAGGCTATCATCAGCTGCCTAGCAGCATTGTTCAAATGCTCGATGGACATCAGGCCCCCACTAAACCCTGCAGTAAGAAAATACGCAGTGGTGCTCAACCCCTCTCTGAGGGAAGGCCCACCTTTACGTTTGGAGGAGAATCAGGGGAACCATAACAGAAAAACTCTTCAAATGACACGCCCAATTAACTTTATAGTCTGGAACGTGAGAGAGGCTAACAATGCCATTTTTTGCAGGAACTTAAGAGATATCATCGATACTCATAGACCTTGCCTAGTAGCTCTCTTAGAAACTCGCATGCAGGATCATGTTTCTATCCAACATGACTTCAACTTTTCTGAGATGGTGGAAATTCCATCAGATGGTCGCTCAGGTGGGATTGCCATCATGTGGATGCACAATATGATAAAAGTAGATGAGGTTGTTAGGGATGATCGGGAATTGCATGCAATGATCAAGGTACTACCTAATCAAAACCCTTGGCTTTTAAGTACTGTTTACGGTAGTACTGATAGTTATAAACAAAAGAAAATGTGCATAACCTTACTACTATATATGAAAATTATAAAGTCTGTTGGCTAGTAACAGGCAACTTTAATGATGTTTTCTCTTCTGAGAAAAAATGGGGAGGTCGTCCTGTTAATTTTAAAAAAATAACTAAGCTTTGGAATCTAGTTAATTATTGTGAACTTTTTGACCTTGGCTCTAAGGGTCCAAAATATACTTGGACAAACTATAGGAAAAAGAAAAAAGGGCTCATTATGGAGCGGCTCGATAGATGCTTTGTAAACGAGGGTTGGTTTAACCAATACCCTAATGCTATAGTGGATCACTTGCCAAGGACATATAGTGATCATAATCCGCTCTTACTTAAGCTTAGACCTAAATTCAGTCATCCAAAATCTAGGACTTTCCGACTAGAGAGTATGTGGTGCTACCATCCCCAATTTCCACAACTTGTTAAAGACTATTGGAATAATAGGTCTTTTGAGGAGGCTCTTCCTCTTTTTAAACATGAAGCCATTAACTGGAATAAGGAGACTTTTGGTAATATTTTTAAAAGGAAGAGAACTCTGTTGGCTAGAATCAAAGGTATTCAAAATTCCTTTAACTACCCTAATAACTCTTTCCTCCTCAACCTTGAAAATCAGCTTATAAACGATTATAATGACATTCGTAGATTGGAAGAGGATTTTGGGAAACTTAGATCCATAATTAACTGGCTTAATAATGGCGAGGCTAACACGAAATTTTTTCACATCTCCACCATTATCCGTAGAAAAACCAATAAGATTTCGCACTTTAAAAATGAGGAGGGTAACTGGATTGATGACCCCTCCGATATTAAAAATCACACGTTAGAGTATTTTAATAACATTTTCACCACTTTTCTCTCAACCTCGGATAGGACTGATATTATCAATTCCCCTTGTGCTTTGATAATTTGAGCCTAGATTTCCTAGATACTCCTGTCACTAACCAAGAGATATCAAATTCCATTTTCTCTTTTAAACCAATGAAAGCTCATGGTCCGGATAGTATACACCTTTTTTATCAAAAATGTTGGTCAGTAGTTGGTGATTCTTTAATTACTTATGTTAAGAATATTTTTCACACGCAAAAAATTCCGGAGACCCTTAACTATACCCACCTTTGCCTATTTCCCAAAGTGTCTAATGCTAACCTTCTCCAAAATTTTCGACCAATAGGCCTTTGCAATACTATTTACAAAGTCGTCACTAAGATTGTTGCTAATAGAATAAAACCCCTCCTTCCCAAAATCATTAGTCCTTTTCAATCTAGTTTTATTAAAAACAGAAGGGCTTGTGATAACAGTATTATCATACAAGAAATCATCAACAAATTCAACAAGATTAAAGGTTCTAAACCTAATATGATTATCAAATTAGACTTAGAAAAAGCTTTCGATTACCTTGAATGGTCCTTCATTTATAGAACTCTTGTTTACTTCAAATTCCCCCCAAATATCACTAACCTCATAATGAATTGTATTACCACTAGTAGCATTGCCATACTCGTTAATGGCA